GTATCTCAGTGTGTTTATTTTATTACTTCATTTAGAAAGTGTTTGTTTAATCCAGTCACTTGTGCTGCATTTATTTTATATTCCAAAGTGTCCAACCTCCAGTGTTGTTATATATGGAAGGGTGCTTTTGATACAGATTTATTAATATACAGGTGAAAGGTGCCAAATACACTTTCACTGTGTCTTCCAGACCACTTTATTCCTGCACTGTGGTGGAAATTATAATATTTAAAAGACTGAATAACAATATGGAAACTGAACTGGAAAAGCCATCTGCATGGGTTCCTGCAAGCTGATATTCACAAAGGTCAACTGACTGGAGAATAGACCTAGAAGACAGGAACTCCTGAGTTCTGATCTTAGTTCTGGTACTGCCTGCTTAATAAATCTTGGCCAAATAAATGAGCCTCCACATCCCAGTAGTTCTGTCTACACGTGGGGGTAAAAGGCCTGTGTAGCCACTTCATAAGCATTTTGTTAAAAACAAGTTTTTTGCAGGCTGGCTGCAAAAAAGATTACATACACAGTTATGTCTCAGGAAATCCATACATTTTCCAGCATCTGTAATGACAAAGATCACTAACAAAACTAAACTGCAGGTTAAAGTTATCCACTCTTCTCAGCATGGTAATTCATTTTGTTGAATGCAACAGGAAATGCAGAGTCTGAGATTCTCGAATTAAATGGTACCATTCGAAAAACAGTGTTTAGGATCTTCTCCATAAGGTTGCAAGAATGTAGCCTGATTTTGTAACTCCTTCATAAATTCTAATTTGTTAAATGCCACTTGGTTACATAGAAAGAAAAGTAAGCCTGAAACTATGTTAGATCACCATCTGTTCAAATGTTGAAATTATTGTGAAATTCTGCTTAAGAGGAAATGGGCTGTTTGCTTTCCTCCCTTGTTATTCTTTCATATGTTGCTGGGAGATACTTGGAGTTCACTCGAAATGTCTCACACTGCCTAACTGGAAGAAATCTAGCAATGAGAGCCTATGTGAGGAAATAGCTGCAACGGTTTGGGATTTTGTTCTGCTCAGGGTTTCTTCTTTCCCCTCCCCAAACTTAGGGACAAATGGTCAGTATATGTTATTTCCAGCTGCTTTGACATAGATGCTGTTTAAGGTTGAAGAGCTGGATTCTGTACATTTAAAACCAAGTCAAAGTCAGTGTGAGTTTCCCAAAGATTTTGGTCAATGTCACACTGGTCTCTAAATCCAGCAGGATTAATTTAGAGGGAAAATCTCAACTATTTTAATGATATGTGATGCTCCCTCTAGAATTACCCAGGGCACCCTGGTTCCTTCCTCTATGTAGGCCTAAAGAGGGTCACACCTGTAGAACTTACGTTCGTCTAAGGTATTGAAATTTGTCCTGCCCACGCTCTGCCAACCAAGTGTGACTCAGCTCCCTACTAGAAACGAGATTAGCTTGAGTTAATAACCTTTACACCTGTCTGAAGGATACTAGTTTAGGAGCCTTATACATGTGATTCTGTGCCTTTGAAGTAAAAATTTTTGTAACTAATATGAAAAAGCACAGATCAGATCTTAAGTGTCCTATTCAACCTGAGAATTAGCTGAACAGGGATAGTCAATAGTCCTAAATTCAGTGGTATGTCCCAGCCTAAATGTAAACCTTTTTCAGGCTTGTCAGCTGAAGCATTTGGGGATTCTTTTAAATAACATGCAAACCACTCTCCTTTAATGCAGAGGACTAGGAACTTGTTAAGGAGAACAACTTTTTATTTTAAACCTCACTCTGCCTAAATCTGTATCAACTGAGAGATGTGCCCTTGGTACGACTCTGCTTGCAGAACACTGAGCTGGACAAGGCCACTCACAGCAAACACTGAAATACTTTCCTTAGTTGATCTAAACTGGTTCAGGAGCTCAGGGTTTCTGATGGGTTTGTTTTTGAAATGAAACACACATTAGAAATGGAAGAGGCCTCAGTCAAATTGGTCGACATAGGTGCTAAACTGATCTGTCAGGGCTATTGTGGCATCTTGGTTCAAGACAGATAAGGGCGACTCAGACTATGTGCTCCCCAGGCTTACCAAACATGGGGCAGTCATTGTGATGCCTGAGGTAGACAGTACTCCTAGGTGGCAAGAATCAGCACTAAGAGACTCGTACATGATGATGCCCCACCAAAGGATGTAGGACATGTGCTTGAAATGGCACATAAGCCCCTTTTGGAGGCAGGAAAGAGTAGTACCGTGAGCATAGTTAGTATTCTGAGGCATGAGATTATTCCCTCAAAAGCAGCAGTGGGAGCTGCTGTCACTGTAGATGCAGCAGTTCACAGACATAGAAAACTGACTGCTGGAGTTTGTAAGATCAGTTCTGTTTTTTGAGCTCCCATGAGGCCCAAAAAGCAGACTTGTGACTCCATTCAGGAGTCCTGAACCAGCTCCTTGTGATCCACCACCTGGGTGCAATGGGGCTTGGAGGTAATCATGGTCTGGCCACCATGGGCACGTGCCAACTCCAGCTGAAATGGCGACAATTTGGCATTGGCTATCCCAGCACCTGAGGTGCTCAGCAGCGACTCATAGCAAGGCTCCCACGGGGAACAACAATTCTCCCATCATTATAAATGAGCCAATGCTTATGCACTTTTCTGGATCAGGACCAAAGAGAAACTTGTAGTCTCACAGGCTATAAATCCAATGGCAGTAGACATGACAGGTGTGTGAAATCTGGAGTCTGCGTTCCAAGCATGCAACCCTTTAGAATTAACTTATTTCTTCAAAAACAAAGCAGGAGTTCAAGAGTTCAGCCTTCATGCAATGTGTGCTGCCGTGCACAACATACTATCTTTAAATCTCAGCAGCAAGACATTCACCACTGCAGAGCTTCTCTGTTTCAAAGAGTAGCCACTTCTATTTCAAACAGCATTTCAACATCAACTAACTTCAAACACTGAAGCTAACTTCAGCCCTAAGAGAAGTCAGAACACTTGTCTCCATCTGCAGTTCCTCTGGCTGGCCCCAGGCTTGATGTGCCTCCCAGATTTTACACCGCTGATACGAATAACCACAAATCTCAGCAGGCAAAATCTTGACCACAATGACCTCATGTTCACTTCAGTAGCACCTGGATCTCACCCAGCCCATAAACCCATGTCAGTGCACATTAGAGGGGAGCTGTTGGAGAGACATCCCTGGAGATGCTAAGTCTTGTCCTAGACCACAGAGGGTCAGGGTAGGATTCTTCTACCTTCCTCCAAGAATAGGCTTTAAACTTCACTAATATGGCAGATTGCTTTGCCACCAAAGCCCACTTATAATTTAAGATCCCTGGCAGTGTCTGCATTGTTATTATGACACCACTTCTCTGCCTGACTTGGATGTAAGGATTCCCCCTTCCACTTCAAACTATTGTGATCCACAGGTGGAAAGGAATAAGAGCTCACTGTTTTAATGGGGATGGTGATGACTGCCACACCAACGTGGAGGAAGACGTTAACACCATGTATTGAGGTATCTTCTGTGCTCTCAGAGAAGATTCCTCATTTCTCTGTGGCCTAGAGAAATGCACTGTGATAAACTCAACTGTTCCTTTTGCAAGGGACATCAAACAGCATTCAGCAGATGGATGCTTTCCACTGGCTGTTTCCACTTCTGGTCTGGAAGAAGGTACTTCAGGATAAAATGCTTTCACTCCTATTACCCCGAGCCATCTGATTGCCTTCTGTTCTGTGTTTCATAGTCTGAATGTATACTTTTTGGGTGTGTTTTCATCATGTTCAGTATATTCTGAGAAACATTAAATATTGTTCTTCATAGCAAAACCAGTGGAAGATGTGGCTTATCACAGATTTGAATGGCAAAACTCTGCTTGGTCCAGCTTTTCTGGGCTGAGCATTTGGCAGTACATGGAAAACCAGACTGAAAAGTAAAAGAGCCACATGCACTCCAGTACGCCCTAAATAAACACTGCTGATAACTGACTTATTCCAAACTGGATGGAACTGAAAAATGAAACAAGACTGGGCTTGTGTTTCTGTGGTCAGATGCATGTCAGGATTTTGCAAGTTGATTAAGGTTTTGAGAAATGATAAGGCAGAATTTAAACTTCCTTTTAGCAAGGGTTACCACATGTCATCTCAGATTCCATGATGGGTAGGCAATATTTGCAATGCATTGTTCCTTTTCACTGATTTGTCTCAATTTTAGCTAGAAGTCCCAGTCCACCAGAAGGTGCAACCTGTTTATCCGCTGTGCCAAGTTACTCATGATCTCCTCTGGGTGCACAGAGTACCCTTACAGTCTTGTCTCAGTGTATCTCAATGATGACAAAAAAATACTCCAGACTTTTCTGGCAATTCAGTCTCACTGCCCATTCACGCCTTATTTTCTTATCTGAAACTAACATCAATGGATATTGTGGTCCTCCAGCTGAACTCACATTCAGATTGGTAAAAGTAATATATGTAGTATGTGATTTTTTTAGCATAGACAGTTCTCTTGGGTTTCAGATAAAGAACTTCAAGTTTCGCGCATGAGGCATCAACCAGCCATCTGACCTTTGGTTGCTACTAATGCAGAACTGACAGATACTGTCAGTTTAAATGAAAATTGTTGGGCATTTCATTAATACTCTCCTGAAACACCAAGCTCAGTCACCCCTCTGAATTTCTTACAGCAAGTCTGAAGGTTTGGCTCAAGAAATAGTGAAAATTGAACAAAACCAATCATCTAAGTTGTCATTATGAGAACTCTGTCCAAATTCAAGCTGAAATATCAATTAGTGATGGAATTTCAATGTGGCCTCTGGCTGGATTGGTGACACAACAGTGATTGTAGAGTCATTTCCTTAGTAATTTCCTTCCGAAGACTAGTCTATTTCCTGAACTTCATGGGCATATAAAGAGATTTGAAACAACAAAGTCACAAACAATGCTGTTTGCAAGGCATGATCTGGTCAAAGGCTGTGTTCTGTGAAGAAAGGATTTCAGGAAACATCATGTCTATATTAACAATGCATTCCTGTTGTTACACAGCTACAGATGAGTTGCATTGCTTACACAGTGATTTCACCAGATTTATTCTCACAGTACACAATGACAAAAACTTTTAAAATCACCTACCTTGAAAAATCCCCCTTTGCCTCCTGTAAAACGAGGAAGAAAAATTAAAAATATATCATTAAAAATAGAAAAAAGATTAAGAAGATGGCTGTTCAAGATTTTCCATGTGCAAAATTCACTTAGCATCAATTTCCTGTTTTAATTGATTCCTCATGTATTTTTTGGAAGCAGTATCTAATGTTAAGTGCCATGATACATGCAGTGAGCTGGGCAGATTAACAAACAAAAGGTTTCCTTTATACAGGGCCAGATGATTCCTCATTCTGCTAGTGAATACCCAAGAAGCTGCAGGAAATGCTAGTAAATAGGTAATTTTTTGGGTCAATGTGGATGCCACATTACTAGAAGATCTCCGAAGTCTCAGTGACTTTGCAACCTCCGAGACTGCAACTCACCTGACTCTTCTCACAAGTGTTCTGGTTATTTTCTAATAACCAGGTTATTTTCTAATAACCAGACCTTCAAAAAGCTAGCTCGCTGTCAGTTATCAAGGGGATTCAAGACACAGGTTTTCCTAACTCTTTGATGGATGTTTGGAGGAGTATTTAGCTCCCTTACTTATGTGTCTAGATATTTCTGTTTATTACCATTGCAGCCTGATGTTAAAGGGCTGGGAAACATTCCACTCCAGTAGTTAGATTAGTACCTGAGTCTCACTGTGCATCTGGTGACCCCTCAAAACCTGATGAGCCCCCTCCTTGATAGAGGCAATGTGCATTTTGCATTTTCCATAGGCAATATGCATTTTGTATGATGCATGCTAAAGCACCTCATTTGCCATCAGCTACACAGAAAGCACAATGCAAGAATGTAATTTGTGCAGTGAGGGAGTTTCCACTGCCCAGAGGACCGGGTTTTGCATTCAGGTCCTTTGTCTTTACATCCGTCCATCAACCCACACAACGTGTCAACCCATGTCCAGTGGTGCTTCAGTCCTGAGGCTGGGCTAAAGTTCAGAGCTTTGGCAGTACTTTAATTTGTTCCGGTAACACGACAATTTGAATTATGGCTGCAGACTAAATGACTTTGAGTTCTGATGGTCCTTTACTATGTTCCTATTTTCCTCCGAGTGAACTGAAGGGAGGACAAACTCTCCTCTGGTTCATAGGAAGGAGTCCTCGAGCATATCATGATTACAGTTCAACACAGAGCAAAACCCAAAGGATATGCCCTCGCCTGCACAGGGGTGAGCAGACTGAATTTAGAAAGCAATTCTGTAGAGTAGATTCTCCATACTTCAGTTCTTTGACCTGAATGCTGCAATGAGAAGTAGAACAAAATGCAGCATAATCCCTCTTGTGTTGCTTGGATCCTGTCACAAACACGGGTTGTAGCAATTTCTGGTTACAGACAGCAGAGGTGTGGCTTGTTTTGACTGTTTTCATTAGGTTACACAGCAAACTACTACAGGAATACACGTAACATCCTGTGTTTGTGATGAGAAACAATCACAGCAACATGGGTTACAGTGGCAGGTCTGAATCTGGCTGTACAATTACTAAGTGCTCAAGTTATTCATTAGGATGAGCGGACAAAAGATTCATAACCCTATTGCTGCTGCTCACAATGAGCCTGTTGTTTGATGTGTATTCCCCCAACAGCCAATATGTAATTTCTATAATGTGCTTTTAATTGAGTCCCCCATCCTGTCTCTCTAGCTCCATTTTTGTTACATAAAACAATTTTAATGAAGATTCAAATCCCTACGCATTAATTGCTTCTTTAACATGGGAAGTGCTATAGAAGGGCAATGCATTGTTATTTATTAGTGCAGTCTGATGAGATGGCTTGTCTGCTCACATGGCTCCTCATAGCTTCATGGCTGATAGGAAAAAAACTAAAACTAACACTGTATGAAAGAGGAACAAGAATCATAAGACAATTATCTCTGATCTGCTCACACAGTCATGCTCCTAAAAAAAGATCTTTCACAAAAAACACCTCTGCTACGCTGAAAAGATTCCTCTTTGGGAACCAGAGATTTACCAAATGCTGCTGGTAATTTGCTCTCTGACCCCTTCCCTCTTCCTGAAGAGCAGAACTTTCAAAGACAATTTTTTTTCTGAGGAAGTTTTTTGGAAAGTCTTTAAGCCCTTCTGCCCACCTTGGAGAATGCAGACAGTTGCATATATAGAAGCTTATGGAGATCATCAGAGGGCCAAGCTCCACTGGGAAAACAAATGCAAGTAAAGTCACTGGAGAAGAAACCATTGTATATGGATTTCACCTACGAAATTGCATTAATCACTTAGATTTTCTCTGGGTTTACATCACACCCCAGGGTCTTGGATATCTGTGTTGGCGCAAATATAACATACATTTGTGTATGCAAAATGCTGGGCAGTGGAATCTCCTCCACGCGTGAAGAGGTCTGGTTCGAGAGCCTTCGGTACCTATTTTGCATTGGTATAAATGATGAAAACTGTGTAAAGACATCTTTCTCCTGCAGGTAGGGGAACCCCTTCACTTCCATACGGCCCTTTTGGATTTGGCAAATCAAGAGAATTAATGCAACTGGAGAAAGCACGAAGCAAGAGAAGGCAGGTGCTTACCTGCAAGATGTATGCAGCCAGTTCAAACACCACTTCACTGTCAACCTCAATTAGTTCCTTGAAAAGTGAAGAAAATGAGAAAGAAAAAGACAGTTGAGTCAGTTTGAGCTCCTGCAAGAAGGATGTGCATCTCCTCCTGACTGCTGCACAGTGAAGCGTGCAGTGCCCGTTTTCTCCCCTGGCTAGGCTTCAAAGCATTCCCTGTGTGCCTGGAGACCAAAGTGAGGGAGAACCTGCCCACTCAGATGTGGAGAAAGCCAAATATTCAGCCTAATGGCTTGGTAAATGAAGCATAACTGGATGTGGCATGAAGGGATTCCTGGGGAGGAGGGAGAAGAAGGCAGGTGGAAGGGGGAGGATTGGGGTAATTTTTTATTTTCTTGTGTGATTTAGTGAAAGGTAGTCTGGGAAATATATTTTTTCTCCCCTAATGTCACCCGTGCTTCAGGGGAACACAGCCATGTCCTTGGCTCACAGAAGCAAGGAAATGAGAAAATTTGTCTTCACTGAGGTTGTGTCAAAGCCTCTGCAGAACTCCTCTGGCCCTTGCCCAGGGTAAACGCACAGAAAAAAGAGCCATAGTCCCTCTTGCAGGATGGAAGCTCTGGTTTCGGGCCTTCATCCCCATGAGCACTGGGGCTGGGGCTGCTTTAAGAATGAGCTGTGAAAACAAACCTTTTGGTATGTCTTCACTGCTCCACTCTGTAGGATCCACCTCTGGATGAAGGCAATCTTGGAGGGTAAGGTGAAATTCTGAGTGTTTTGCTTGGACACCATGGTCACAGGAAGGACACGGATGGTCCCATCAGATCCTCTCAGGGTCCTTCTGCTGTGCCCGAGATGGTGGCCACAGAACCAAGGGGTCCAGGCGCTGCTCCATCTGAGTGTGTGGGATGCAGAGCCAGCATCACAGATGCATGGTGTGGGAGGCAGGAACATTAATCTCATGGCCAAGTGTGCTCTCCCCAAGTCTCTGATCCCTGCCAGTGTCAGCTTTTGGGAAGAGAGTGGGCTTTTACTGCAATACCTGTTTAGGCCTCAGTTCTGCAACTAAATCTCCTATGTTGTTTCCTATGTGTGTGGCCACGTACACTGGGTCACTTCATCTCACTCCTGTGTGGCTTTTCTGTTGTATTTATTTAAGGTGCTGTTTTTAATATTTTACTTCATCTGGCAAGAAACAAGGGATCTAAATATAGATCACTGCTGTGATCCGTACTCTAGCCAAGTCACGGCCGCACCCCATTTACAAGCCACAGTCGCTGCGTTGGCTTGTCTCTGGCAAAATCATAAACAAAGGGAACAAAACAGAGGATAAGATCCAGGTGTCCTTGGCTTTCACCAGTGCCAGCTTTTTAAAATAAGCACTTCCTTCACCTCCTTCGTAACAACTCCTTGAGGAGCAAACACCAGCTCTGCTACGGGCAATAAACACACCTTCCCCCGCTCAGCTGAGCTGCCTGATTCACGCAGGCACCTGCACTAACGACGCGCGTGTGCCAAGGGGAGCAGCTGGTGCAAGATGCCGATTCAGCTGTAGGCAGGGCCGGGCTGGGGCAGCCAGGCACATCCCGGAGCAAGAGGCGATGCGGAGTAGAACCAGCGTGCCTGCTCCTGCTCTCTCCTTCCAGCACCAGGTATCACACGGACAAACCACCCTCTGCAACCACGTGTCAGTGTTATGGCAAGTCTGTACTAGTAGGTAAAGCGGGCCAGAGCCCGTTCTCTGGCCCTAAGGGTACGTGGCACAGGATAGCTCATGAGTAAACACTCTTCCTCCCTCCCCTGGTCCCAGGTGGGGTCACCTCTGTATTGCCCCTCGGAACAGGTGCTCTTCCCTGCACAGTGCCCAAGCAATGCCTGGGACAGGGCTAGCTGGCACAGGCCAAAACCCATGCCAGAACATGCTAGAAATTAAACAGCCTGACTTATCGAGGGACAGTGCCCGATGCCAAGCTCTGTCTCCTTTGGCTGTACAAATGTGGCTTGGTCTTCCTGGGCAGCAGTGGCTTGCTGGTCCTGTGCGAGAGTTCGGGTGTGTGGGTCCATGAACCTCTCATTATATAACAGGGTGGGTGAGGAGGAGCGGTGGGCACAGCCAGAGGTGTACAGCACCCAGTAGAGCCAGCTGGCAACGCAGGGGACCAGCAGCCCCAAACTGAACAGGCCACAGTCATCTCCTTTCCCAGCTTGAGCAGCCCTGTGCATGGGGACATTTGAGGGTGTGTCAGGAGAATCAGCAGCAGCAGGTCTGCGGTGCTAGCACGGCATTACGAACTACACTTACATCCTACGCAGGATGGTCTTTCTGGGCTGCAGGGAAGCCTGGGGTGAACCCATCCATGGGAAGCCCAGTGAGGAAACTTTTGGTGCAGGAAGGAAGCTTTCAAGGTTTGGGACACCCCCTGCAACCCCCTGCTAGCTGCAGGGATGACAAGCACTGGCTGTGCTTAGACACTGAACCCTCTATCTACACCTAGGCCAATCCTCCAGGCATGCTGGCTGGGTGCTCGCCCTGTGTCCTAGCAGAGACTTTGCACCCAACATTCAAATTCAGTGCCTTTTTTAACAGCACAGCACGGCTTACTGTGGCTGGAAGTCAAACGGGGAAGGACCCGCATGGGAGACTGGGAATCCATCAGGGCTATTTTTGGACAGAAACGACAGTCAGCTCAAATGTGCAAAGTAATGGTTTTAGGAGAGGTCAGACTAAAATAGACCAACCTAGATTTGTAGGCACTTTTTTTCCTCCCCCCCCCCCTTTATTCTTATTAAGCTTTCTCCAAAAAAAGAAGAAGAGTGTAAGCTTTTCCTGGCAGTACTCCAAAAAGGAACTTTCCCCGGGAACCAAAATGTGATGCTCACTGAGCTCGTTGCTGGAGAGGGCTGACTAAGCACGCCTAATTGCAGCCTTGCCAGCGAGCAAAGCTCTGCACAGCTCAGCTCAGCAGCCCTGCCTCTTTCCTGGGCTCTGGAAAAAAAGGCGTTTTATGGCATGGCGTTTTAGGAGATGCAAAGTTAGTCACTGGATTTTAGGACATGCAGATATCGGAGAGAGAAGTTCCAGGTTCGGTGTAACCTAGTTGGCTTAGCAGGTCACACACCTGGGCTGGCGGTGCTATCCTCCCCAACTACAGCCGTGCCTCCCTGGCAGAGGGAGGTGAGTCACAGGAACGGCCCCTGCCAGCACCGAGGGAGGTAGGAGGGATCCTCCCAGGGAATCCCAGCTGCTGAAAAACCTCTCCCAGTCCCGCACAGGCCAGCCACCCGTCCAGCCCACCTGGCCGAGTCCAGCAGGTTCTGGACCTGCTTAATTTTCTGGGCCCTGTCCTTCCACTTGTATGGCTGGCTGGCAGCATCGCAGGGATCAGCTTTGCAGGGCTGGTGGGGGAGTGGAGCCTGAGCCAGGACACCCTTGTCTCCGGCAGAATCACAGAATCGAAGAATCACAGAGTGGTGGGGGTTGGAAGGGACCTCTGTGGGTCATCTAGTCCAACCCCAGTGCCGAAGCAGGGTCACCCAGAGCAGGCTGCACCGAAGCAGGGTCACCTACAGCAGGCTGCACAGGACCTTGTCCAGGCGGGTCTTGAATATCTCCAGAGAAGGAGACTCCACCACCTCCCTGGGCAGCCTGTTCCAGTGCTCCGTCACCCTCAGAGGGAAGAAGTTCCTCCTCATGTTCAGACGGAAGGCACACCGAGTGCCTTGCAAGGGGCAGCTCCCAGGTACAGTGCTGCTGCCTGCAGGCTGGTGTTTCCAATAGCCTGCCCAGGCAGGGCTACTTCTGGTGCAAAAACCAACTCTCCCTGTTCCTGTACAAGGTGGTCTTCAGTACAGACCCACCAACACCCCTGGCCCACAAACTCTGAGTCGTGCAGTCACAAACATGTAGCTACACACGCCCCTAACACACTTACAT